TTACCAACACTAATAGTCGTTAACTCGGGAGCAAGAAATATCCAACATTTAAAAGACCAGAGTTTTAGTAGACAATCAAAATTAACTTATGTATTTTTCTTCCAATTTTAAAAGTACAAGTATTAAACGGCCAAATTAAAAATAAATAAGGGTTTTTCCGGCTTTTTTCCCATTTTAGTTTGGGATTGTTCATTATTGTGAACGAAAGTTACGTAATATATACAAGTCATTTGTTGAAATTAGACCTAAGAGAAAACGACACTAGCATGAGTCATACATACTCTTGCCCTGAAATTAGGACTATGGAATTGGGAAAGACAACGACATTGTCTTCTATTTATTGGACACTAAGTTAATGTTGCCACGTGCCATTAATACCTTCTTATCAACTCTTGACACTTGCGTTTAGGTTCGAATCATTTTGAAAAAAGAAGAGTAAATGCTTATTCTAAATATATAAGGCGAAATTCCACAACCAAAATAGACTGATTATGTAAACTAAGCCTCTACGTGAAGTAATATATACTATGTTGAATCAATCTTGAACCCTGACATGTTGATATTGTAGCAAAATTGTGGACTCGTCCACATGGATTCTCGTGTAAATTATAATATTATAACTTGATTTATTCATATAGTAATTAAACTATTTAAGTTGATATCTTTGTTTGAAAGTAAATAACGTAATGGTCCCCGTCGAATTCATATATACTAGCTTTTGAATGATACATTTAATATAGTCATACCGTTTCGGACAAAGTTTTTCCCTCACTCCTTTTCTAACTAACACACATTTAGGTACATATATAGCTGCATGTAAATCCATATTTATACATATAATATACAAGATATAAACAGTTATATACGGTGGTCAGTATTTCTCAGCTTCTATTTTCCTGTCTAATGACTGTTATTCAATTAGTTGACTTGAATATAAACCTCTCTTTTTTATTCGATGTCTAAAAAGTTGTCTTGCCAAATTAATAAAGAGATAAACCTGATTGAAGAGGAAAATGTGCAGTGACGCAATGCCTTGTAATTGAACACGACTTGAGAATTGGAAGCGGGAAGCATAGATGCAAAGCAAGTAGGTCCATAAGAGTTGGTGCCTTCTTATTCAACTTGTCCTTATTTCTTTTCCCCACTCAAAACTCTTCGACATGGATGTGCTCATAGCAAAAGTATAAACATATATCCAGTTTCTTAGTATACATTTGAAATATGTAATTAAAAAATCCAAGTTAATTAATGTACAGCAAAATCAAACTATTTTAAATATCATATAATTAACTGAACAAATAACTTAGCTTGAGTCAATATTTCATCAAAAATTCTGTTATAAAGAATAATAATTATAATTGGTTATGTTTAGCAGAAGTTAATAAAATCTGAAGTTTAAAAGAACTTGTTAGCGTGTACCAACAATTCAAGTGTTAAACCAATATACTTACGGATCGGATGTATATAAGATTTTTTTTTGTTAATGGTGTATGCATATATATTAAAGGTTATATAAATATTGAGTTGTGATGGTTGTGAGTACGAAATAAGGGAATGGAGAGAACGACAAAGAGGTGTGCGGAACTGGGGTTGGTGTCCAACAAAGAAGAGACATCTAATATTATGTTCTCTACGTTGGGATCTTTTCTAAGTGACCCACTTTTGTTTTGCTGTCTTATATGTATATCTCACTTTCATTATTTCATCTATCTACGACTACAAACCATGCATCCCCATTTTGCCCTACCATATGCTCTACATCCATACGTGCGTCTCCAAATACATACACTTTATCATATTCATATATACATATTATTCATATTGCATTTTCAATATGTATGTGTATATATATGTGTTATAATTTATAACATATATATGTGAGAAAAATGATAGCAACACAAAGGATTCAACACATATTTACGTGGTTTACTGATAAATATATTGGCTAAGTACACGGACAAATGAATCGATTTCATTACTAGCTAGAGACAAAAGGATGAGCAAAATCATGTGAGCCTAGACCCAAAGAGAAAGAAAACCTAAGCCAAAATTGTGGTCCATAAACAGAATAACTTTAGCAGACTCTCGAGCTAAGCTATATGTCATCGAATTCAGTGTGTGTTCAGTATAACAACAACGGAATGCAAGAAACACCATGTTCTAAATATGACTAAATTTTGATAAATGAGTAGCATGTAAGAAATACATTTGTTTAAATGAAAACAAATTATAGTATTTCCCAATTATACATTTTTCGAAATTTATTTGTATCATATGATCAGTTTACTTCATTTTAATTTATCGTACTTATGCAATTATCACCGAAATACGATTAATGATGTATTAATATGCTTAAGCAAAAGAATGTCAAAATTATAACAATTTATGGATTTCTCATGATTGTTTTCAGGTTCACGCTATGACCAGATGCTTTACAAGTTTATTTCCCTAACCCGTATGGGTTGGCATGATGATAAATTGATAATTAGGGCTAGTTAATGGTGATGATGACACAAAGGAATTACTACCTTTTATTATCAGTAAACAATTTTTAGGCCCTTTAATCTATGCCTAGAAGGTCCATTTAGAATGAAAAACAATTTGACTGATTAAAAAAAGAATATCGTTTACCTGCCAAAGTAAAAAAGTACTTAGTAGTCACAAAAGCACAAACACAAATCATGTGATTGAGAAGACTGCCACAATCTTAGTTACAATTTTCAAATCCTCATTCTATTCCAACTTTCACGGCTCTTCAAAATAAATATTTCTGAATAATAAAACTTTTCATTCTTACTATATAGAAACAGTTATACGTAGATATATATGATGTAACTCGAGTCATGTTCGAACAGATGGAAAAGCCAAAGATTATCCTTGTCTGGTATGAAATTGAATACCTCCCTTATGTAGAATAGACTCTCCATGTGCACTGATTTATTATAGATTCTTTGTTTTCCCACCTATATATAAATAAATTATTTGATTTTAAACAAGAAAATATTTGAAAATTTAATCTTATAGAGGGAAACACAGTAGGCCACATGCTCATGCTCTTTTTCTCTCCTTTTTCTTCTCCTGGCCAAGCCAAGCAGTGATGACATGTTTAAAGATTGCTCACGTTTTGGAAATTTTTGAAATATATACATAAATATTTAGGAAATCATTATCTCTGATAGTTACAGTAAACCACTCGGTGGATTGATTCATTTGGAAACACATAACATCATGGATTTATTACATACGCCAATAATAATACAGAGTTCTAGACTTTTGGTTACTGATTCGCCTAATTGTTATTTTTAGAAAATAAAGGATACAATGTGTTGCTTTGCATGTGATGTTTTTTGAAGGAAAAAAATGGAAAACATGTGATGTCTATATATGAGCCTAATTTAATTATTGAGATGCATAATGAGCATCTTTGATAGTATTACGAAAACAATGATACGAACTATGTATATATACAATGTGGATATGTAAGACGATGGAGAAGCATTGGATCCATTAATATAATAATTCTTTATTAGGGTGTCAATCATATGACCATATCTTTGACTTGAATCTGATCCTATGATTGCATATGTGGCTATGTAGTATTAGAAGAAAATGATTTATCCTTGGAACTATTACTCGCATTTTTCTTAGAAACAAAGAAAATATAATGAAACATTTGTTGCATAATTAATTTCAAAAACCTAAACAAATATTTGAAGTGTCTATAGGAAATGTTTGGTGCCAAAAGCGAAGGGGAACATGGGATGGACCACAAAAAAAAATAAACTTTCGAATAAAATAAGTTAAGAACAAATAAAAAAAAAAAAAAAACGACAAAAAGATAATTAATAGTGCCACCCAACTTGTGGGGAATATCTAAGATGGGATAGTTTGTCTGGGTTGTTTGAGAAATGTCATTAAAAAAAAATTCAAGTGATTTGATTTTCTTTAAAAGGTTTTTAAGAAGAAAAAAGAGAGAGAGAGAGAGAGAGAAATAGTGTAGCTAATATTAGGACCATATTGAAAATTGAAAACTTATATTAAACCACAAATGGGTTAATAATTAGTTGATTACCATCATAGTGTTTTAAAGCAAATAAAAAATTGAACTAGCTCTGATTTTGAAAACAATTGATATTAATTAGAGAAAATTGCTATCCAATAACGTATAATAATCACGTGGACAGAAAATAAAGCCAATGCATAATGTTTTGATCTCGTGGTCAGTGTGCACAAGACATAGTTTAGTTCTACCACAGTTTACTTTCTCTTAAAGAAGTATCATTGTAATGGTGACAAAACAAAACATTTTTTTTTATGTGTTAAGCTATATTTTCATAATTCAAATTTTGTTAGATGTATGTGCACGAGTTGTTGAAACTTATGTGACCCACGTAATTAATTTCACCGCCAATGAAAGCACTTGATATATGTATCAAATGGTATCAACGACAAAACTTTAACGTCTTGTGATTTGAAATGACAGAAAATCCATCCTACATTTTGGTTTGTGTAGTTGAAACAATGGGATAATGGCTGATAATATATCTTTAGTTTTAGTTTTACACAGTCATATGTTCATAAATCTATACATGTATAAGCTTCATATGTTCATAATACTATACATGTATAAGCTTCAAGTTTGGTGGTTATAGTAGTTGCCGAAATGATCATATAACGGTGCAAGATAATAGTAATAACGGTATAAAATATAAATCATGTGATTAAGACCACAAGATTTCGTCTAAAGTATAGACGTCTTTTTTACTCCAAGTCAAATATAAAGTAAAATTCTCAATGTGGACATAATAAACTAAAAATAAAAAGTTTAAAGATGAGAAGGTGGAAATTAAAAAAAAAAAAAAAAAAGAAGAGAAAAAGTGTGTTTTATATTTTTATTTAACAAGAAGAGGATCATGGTCATCTTTTATATCAAAGGCCTTCGAGAAAATTAAAACACCATTGCTCCCACCTTGAAAGAGAGAGAGTTCTTCACAGCAACTAGAGAAAGGATCCAAAGGGATCGCATTGATCCTAATTAAGCTGATTTATTCCCCAATAATTGTTTTTTTTTTCCTTCTCAATCGAAAGATGGAAGAAAAACAAATTCCAAACATTTTGCTTACTTTTCCGGATCATGCGATCTCTTTGGATTCATTCTTTGGTAGCTTCCACTCCGGTCAAAGGGTTTCATGACCGGAGACATCAACGGCGGGAGGCTCTTCAATGAGTAGATCCAGTCATATCAACAAGCAAAAAGTAAGAAAATTTGTTATATACATGTAAGTTTCAAAGATTTAAGGATACATTTCAAGTAGACAAGAACATGGTCTTGTTCCCTTTTTTTAACCCTCACATCTTATTATTTGCACCTTTTTTGGCATTGATTTGCTTCTTTGCTATGGTTTTACATTGATTTGCTTATAGAAATTATATTTAAAATTAAGCTTTTTTACTATCCTGTAAGCATGAAAACAAAATATACACCTTGGACATAATATGTCATCGTAATCATTTTTTTTGTCTATAAAGAAATTATGAAAAGTATATGTATCAACTTTATAATTCAAAATTACGTTTCATCAAAGTTACTCCAAAATCACGATCTATGAAGTGCTTGGATCCCGTAAATGAGATCAGGTTCATTTCGTCTTGAAATTGATTAAGAGGAATATTAGCGTTAACTATAACCATGGAAAATGGGTGAAACTGAATGAGTTCGAATAAAACCAAAACTTTTTGCTGATCAGAGATTTGTTTTCTAAAAGAAAACGATTCGAATATTTCCTATATAAGTTAGTAAATGATGACTGTCTAATTTGAGTATACATACGGTGTGTAAATTGTTAGCGTAATTTCTAAGGCTACGCTACACTTGCTGTATTCTAGATAGAAATATGTGACCATTGATATATTAAATCTCTTCTAGAGTTATTCGATGCTTTGTGAAAGTGTAAAGAGACTTCCAATACAAAGATTGGCATCCTTTTATTGGAAAATTGCTAACTTTTAACTGTAAAGTAATTAAATAGATAATGATATTCACTGGTCAAGCTTTCTTCTCTCCATTGATCCCTATTAAAAGGATTTCAGCCACTTAATTTTTTTCTACCGTGGGTCAACCTTTAATTAGATCTAAGATCAATGTCAAATGTATGCAAAAGATGTTTAATGCTTTATTGTTGAATGTCTTTGTTATAACACAAAAAAAATCTCTTTCACATTTTTCTTTGCTCTCGTTTATTCGCATAGCATTGGATTATCCTCTGCTTTGTGAAGAAAAGTTGGACAATAGAAATCAAGTGATCAATGAAATAAACTTATGTTCAACAACTATGCCTTCTTTAGGTATTTGAACCTACATTGTTTTCACTAATAACTTAAGGTATCTTCTTTTCCCACCAACTCCCATGAACTGGTTATTACAATGTACAATGAATACAATTTACCACTCTCATGACCTGATTATTATATCTTACCCACACCAATCAGTGAGACTATATACATTCCTTACAATAAAAAAAACTATGCAAGGCGCCACACTTCATTCTCTTTTTGGTGAGTGTTTAATTAGGCATAGATATATGCAATACCAATCGCTTGAATCTTTAACTTAGTGAATGTTTCTCTGAAGTAACATCTTCACACTATATATATGCGCTACTTCTGATGGAATGTGCAGGTCTGGTATTTGACTTATATATCTACATCTATTATTTATTCTCTCCGGTTTTTCATGGTGTCTTTCTATAAGATCTTATAATAAACCTCTCTTTTTTTTGTTGTCAAATTCTAAAAGCATAGCCATCTCTTCATTTATTTTGTTTTCTCTGGATGAGAAAGATCAAAAATAGTTTGGGCAAATATCATATGTTTTTAAATATGCATGTATCTGAAAAATAAAAATGTCTGTAGAATAAAAATAAGAATGTAAGTAAAATACTAAAATCAATCTTCTAAATAGAAACAGAAATCTTATAACAATCTTTAAATATATGTTTAATTATAATTAAGAATTTCATATTCACAACCTGCCAAGTATATCAGAGTGGCGCAGCGGAAGCGTGGTGGGCCCATAACCCACAGGTCCCAAGATCGAAACTTGGCTCTGATATTAAAATGCATAAATTTTTTTAGTTAGTTTTACATTTAGATAAAAACACATAATTCTTTATAGTAAAGAACTAAAGATTAATGTTTTGTACTTTATGTACTATTCCATATCAACATATATTTGTATTAGTCTTGGGAAAGCAAAAAAATTTGAAAGACTTTTTTTTCCAAGTATGAAAGATTTAGTTAAAAATTTTAATCAGTAACAGAATTCAAGAGTAATGTTTATTACATAATTATATACTTTAGAAACCTGCTCCAGTTTTGAATAAAATAAAATAAGAAAATATTTGTTCGAAACTCCAAATCCAGCTGAATTAGTTTTGCATGTTTTTGCACGAAAAAAAAGAAAGAATATATAGTTTACGTATGACCATATTTTATGTTTTAATTTTAAGAATTTCCATCCATATAATGTAAACCCGTATATTTTGGGATCTACTATCATGTAGGCTGTAGTCTCTAGCTATAGCCAAGAAAAAAAAATGACAGATAGATTGACAATCGTTATAAGAAAAAAAAAAGATTAATACTCTTAATCATACACAACCCAAATAAATATTAAAAAGATACTTACGTAAATGATATGAAACTTATTTAGATAAATGATCAAATAGAATCTTAATCTAATAATTAGTAAAAAGTCAAATACACATGTGAACGCGATGGAGATATCTATATTTGTTGTGGGAATGACTTAAGTCGACTGTCGACGTCGGAAAACAAAATTTCAGAGTCATGACTGAAAGAAAATTGAAAATTCCATCATAATGTTAAGAAAAAAATGTAATAAAGTTTTTGCATGAGTGTTGATTTTCCTTTTGTTTCTACAAAGTCAAGCCACGTACATTGCGTAAAGGCTGATTTTGATTTATAAATTCATTTTAGACTTTTCAATACTCAACTTTCTATAAAAATATATACTTTATTGTTATCTCAATAACATTGTGAAAGCTGTGTGTTACCGTTATTAGACTCAGTCATTCGCTTCGTCACTTGTACAATAAAATGTCGTCACTCATAGACATATTAAATCCTCATGTGATTTTTTTGTTAGCCTATCTTTTTTTTTTTTAATAATAAAACAGCCTGTTTTAGTTGCACCTTCATGTGCGTTTTACCGACTGAATTGGCGAGATAAGCTTCGGATTATAGCAACAAAGAGGAGATGTGATTCGAGTCGATTGATATAGATACGAATCTATTTGTTACAATAGTAAAAAAAAATATAAAAATATTTCATTTTCAAGAAATAATGTCATAAGAAGTCAAAGGAAGATATTGTCATTATGGTTAGTCAAATAAAAAAATTGTAAGCCAGCAGTTACGTTCATACCTGCTTTCCGTTGACTTTTATAATAACTACACTAGTCTTTTGAAATACTCCATTACCTAATTGCATTTGTTCCAAAAATATACCACTACTAGTCTTAATAAATTGTAATTAGACTAGGAAATAATTTTTATTTGACCAAAATTATATTAAGAAATTTGGATTTTTCTTAATAATAATCAGTTGATAGTAAGATTTTATGGATTGGAATAATTGATTTCCTTTCCAAAAATAAACAATCATGAGATCCTTTCATAATTATTTTACACTCAAGATTCTTTTCTATTAGGGGAGAACAAATAAAAAATAAAAGTGTTTCCTTTTTTTTTTTTTTTTTTTCAAAAATAAAAGTGTTTCCTTCATATATAAATACATATAAAACTTGCGTTACCCATTTTATAGGATCTCGTGCAAATAATTCATACATACAGACGTATCGATCTTGCTGACCCATCAATTAAATTTTGACCCAAAAGGTCAAATTCACTATAAGAAAAACAGAATTCATTTCATCAAAATTCCATTTCACACTTTTTCTGTCTGTTACGATTCTTGCTTGATTTCTTTCTAAACAAAGCAAAAGTTGTCTTTTTGGAGTTGTGAGCAACTAATTCTCTGAAATTGAGGAAGAGAAAGCGAGAAGGTTTTTTTGGAGTCAGAGACAGAAGAAGAATTTAACAGATTCTTGTCGGAAACATGGATACGAGTGAAGCAAGGAACCGTAAAGTTGTTGCAGTTGAACAATTCGATCTCGAAGTCCCTGAGACTGCTCATCAGATTAGCAGCGGTTCGTTTCTTATCCTCTATCTTTGGATTTTTGTTTTTGTTTTTATTGTCCTTGTTTTTTGTTTGTTGCTGCTCTTTTTTGGTGAATCTACTTGTCGTTTATTGCATAATCTCGAGCTTTTCTTGAAAAAAACTCATTTATTATTGGGGGGTTTGTGCTCCTTTTTTCATTAAGCTTTTCTTGAGAAATAATACACAGACAGAGAATGGAAAGGGTCGTTTAGCTTTGTTTGTCTTCTTTGTTAGATTGAATGATACTTTGTTACTTGCTTTTACCCTATAAGCTGCTGAAATATGACACATCAAAGAATTGAACTGATGTTACTTTCCAAATCATGTTGTCTCCGATGATGTTTGCGGTGCCCTATAGTGGAAAATGTTGTCTTTGATGATTCAAGAATGTGAACATTCAATAACTTTAAGTTTCTTGATCAGTTTTTGTCTTCCCCAAAGTTTTAAGCTATGAAAACTCTGTTTTTTTTTTTGTTTTCTGTTACTCTGAATTTACATTGAGATGAAAAATGAGTGGCTGAGGAATATAGAAATAATTGACAAATAATATATACTCTGTTTTAGTGTTGCATGTGTGTGAAAGCTTAAGTGTTGAAGAACTTGTACAGATTCATGGTTTCAGGTAGCTTTTGTTCTAACGACCGGTATAAACAGTGCCTATGTGTTGGGATATTCCGGGACAGTCATGGTTCCTTTGGGTTGGATTGGTGGTGTGGTTGGTCTCATTCTTGCTACCGCAATCTCTCTTTACGCAAACACTCTTATCGCCAAACTTCATGAGTTTGGTGGCAAAAGACACATTCGTTATAGAGATCTTGCAGGCTTCATCTATGGTAAATTCTTCATCACTCTCTCGCAATATCAAAATACATTTCAAGTTTTACATTTTAACGAGAATTGTATTTGCTTGATTGATTC